GCATAAACCTACGACGGAGCACTGGACTGCAGTGAAAAGAGTTCTACGGTATTCAGCAGGCACAATATCTCAGGGCATTCTGTATCCAGCGAGGAACAACTCCACTCTTCACGCATTTAGTGATGCGGACTGGGCAGGAAACAAAGATGATTACACATCCATAGGCGCGTACATTGTATATCTGGGGAGTCATCCAATCGCATGGTCCTCCAAGAAACAAACGGGCGTAGCACGATCATCAACAAAGGCAGAGTATCGTTCTGTAGCATCCACGGCAGCAGAGATTTGCTAGATCACATCCTTACTCACAGAATTGGGTCTTCAACTTCAACAAATGCCGGCTATATACTGCGATAACATTAGTGCAACCTACCTTGCTGCCAATCCAGCTTTCCACTCAAGAATGAAACATCTAGCCCTTGATTACCATTTCGTACGGAATCAAGTCCAAACGGGACAGGTCCATGTCTCTCACGTCTCCACACATGACCAATTAGCAGATGCACTAACCAAACCACTGCCAAGACCAAGACACGAAACCTTACAAGACAAGATTGGCCTCTCCTCCGGTGGTCCATCTTGAGGGGGTGTATTAGACAAAGGAAAGTAGATAATCTTCTCAATCAGTATCTCTACAATTACGCTCTCCTATAAAGTCCATATCTCTCTCTTTCCTTGTATATCTCCTTCGCTCTCTGTATATATGAGCAATGTCTGTAATCAATAAAATCATCTTTTACCTAATCTAATAGATACTGTGATATATTTGAAAGCATTTATGCGTAAAGAAGCGATAATTGCATCCAGAACTCTTCACAAATTTTTAATGTAGTTGGAGAAGACAAAACTAAGAATTTTTGAGACAATGAAAAATATTGGAGATAAGTTTCAAAAATATTTAAATTTTTAGAAAAAAACAAATAACATTAGATTTATATTTTAATAGATTATCTAGTTAGATATATTGGCATAATGTTTTTTATATGATATTTATTAATTTATGATATTAATAGGATTATATTTTACATAGATTTTCAAAAATAATTATTATCTTATTAAGCTGTGTTAAATTTTGAATCGGCCCAATTTAGAACCAAATAAAATTATTGATTTATCAAATTTATTAATTTATCAAATATTAATTTATAGAGTTTCTTGTATGTATGTATTAGTGATGATGAGAATTTTTATGAAGAAAATTTAGTTTATAAATTTTATAAATATAAATTTATGATAGGATATTAGTGAATATTATCTAAAAATTATTAATTTGTTTATACATATTGTGTTTATAATTTTGTTTTAATTTTTTTTCTAAAGATAATTATATATACTATCATGATTTTAAATAAATTTTATTATGCATCCACAAATATCTGCATAATTGTAAATACTTGTGAGATTGAACTTTTAATTTTAAGGAATTTACAATGGTTCAAAGTGGTAAAAAACATTTGTAATAATTGTTGTTAAACATTAACAATTGATACTATCCATAAAAATTGTGTTTGTGAGTATTAGTGGGAAAACTAACCAAACTGATCAACAATTATAAATTTTATCAATCGTATAAAATTAATTTTTATTTATATATTATTCATCTATACGGATTATCTACTATAGATAATAAACCTAAACATTATAATTTATTTATTTTTAATAAATATTTAATACTTTTACGTATACGTATGTGTAGATAACCTTCTAATTTTTATATTATGCATGTTTATATCTGACAACTGTCATACAATCAGTCAAAATTATCCACTAAATAGGTAAACTCGATTCCATAATGCTTATTACGGCAACTGCTTTTACAAATTTTAACATCTTTACAATTCAATGCTTTCACCACATATAAACAAGTCAACCCTAAATAATGATCAAAAATGAAAGTTTAAATGGCAAATTGCTTATGCTATCAATTGAAGTCAGTTATTGTTTCTCATATTGCCGCCATTAGCAGTGTTTTTCTCGGGTAGCTGTAATATGAGGGAGGTTTTGGACAGTAGTAATACTAATCTGTCAACGGATAGAGTAACGATTAAAATATTTATTAAAATTACTATTATTTGTCGGATGTTGACTTTGTTGGTATTTACAAATGCACTTCATGAAAAATGTAGAAAACATCTATACTATTAAAAGAGAATCATATTTTTAAATTAACTTTTAGCTAATATGTTATTTACAATATATGTTATTAAATTTCTATAGATTCATTAAGTGTAATTTAGTCTTATTATTAAATTGTTAATAAATACATTAAATTAAATTAAATTACATTAGTTTGTTAAGAGATAATACCAATAAATTATATCTGATACTAATAAAAATTCAAATTAATTTACTTTTAAAATAATTTTAAAATGTTCATAATATCATAATAACTAATATAATTATATATATTATATGATAAATTAAATATATATTATATTATAATCAATTTCTTCTCTATAGTATTAAAAGAAAAGCACTACATTAAAAAATTTAAAAATTATTATTGTATTTACAAAAATATATAGTCAATGATGAATATATAATCATTATTTTTTGATTACATATATACATACTATGGAAAAAAAAATATGTAGATAATTTAGTTTTTCTGGTTTGTTAATGATTTTTTTGCGGGAAATTATGGGTTTGCGGATTTAACAAACACAATTATGTAGATTTTACGTGTTTTATAAATTTTAGCGGGTTTTATAAATTTTAGCGGAAAATATAGTTTTCCGAAAAAATGCCGGTTTGACAACAAATGTGCTTTTGTAGATTTAGCAGAATTGCAGAAACACATAGTTTTTGAAATTTGGTCGTAGATCACGATTTTGCAGATTTTACGGGTTTATGAGAAAATACGGGTTTGCAAAATACGAATAACGCAATTTTATGGATTTTATGAGTTTTACAGATTTTAGCGAGAAAATGCGGGTTTGTGAATTTGGCAGAAACACATGAGTTTAGAAATCTGGTCGTAAAACACAATTTTATGGATTTTATAAAATTATGGGAAAACACGGATTTTGTGGATTTGGCGAGAAATGTTATTTTGCGGATTTTACGAAGTTTACATGTTTTGCGGATTTTATATGTTTTGGTGGAAAATGTGGTTTTATGAATTTTATTGAAAATGCAGGTTTGCGGGTTTGACGACAAAATGCAATTTTGCAAGTTTGACAAAAACTACTCAATTTTAGAAATTTAGCCATAGAATATGGTTTTATGATGTTGGGGGAAAGTATAATTTTTGGTTTTGTAAAAAAATGTGGGTTTATAGTTTTGGCAGAAAAATACGGTTTATGTTATTTTTAAAGTTTCTACCAGAATTTTCGGTTTTGGTACAACAACGTTTTTATTTCGATAGAAAAATGGTTTTGACAAACAAAAACTTGATTTTGTGGTTTCTATAAATAATATTTTTATCTGTTAATTTTTGAGATTCAAATGCTGCATCAAATCTCTATTTTTAGCAATTTAAATATCCAAATTTTGAGCTATTATAGAATTTGTATTCAGATAAAATATTCATATACTGATTTAATAATATTTAAAAGAATAATATTTGAGAGCATTTGCATCTAAATAAGTATATAGGGCAAAAACAAACAAAGCCTAAGAATCTTAAATACAAACAAATAAAATCTCTCTTGCATTATAAAACATAATATTTTAAAAATATTTGTTACAAAACTTAACAAAAAATCTGCTAATCAAAATATTTTTTTTAAAAAAAATCAAGCCTAAATAATTTTAAGAACATAAAACCATATTGTTAAAATAGTTTATAAAATCTAATAAAAAGTTTATGTTTGAGCCACAATTTTAGATTTAATAATATAAGCTAATTTTTCTTTTCAACAAAAGTTTACTATAAATAGATTTGTGCTATGATCCAAAAATATTTTATAAAAAGAAACCTGTACAAGTGCGCGGATCCAAAATCTAGTGTCCTTTATTTTTACGTCCCCCTCTTTTAATTATGAATTATTATTTGGTCTACAAGAAAGGTCGAATATTTACGGCCGCAAAAACAACTTCTTTTATTACAATCCAGAAATTTTGAAGTAAAGTTAACATTAATCTTCGAATTCTGTATAAAAGCATATTTTTATTTATTTATTTATTGGATATTTTCAAATCGATCTAATGAGTATTTCATTTTGGATTATTGCCTTTACTTTTTTTGTCTTTTTAAAGTGTAGCAAAATGCCAACCACTGATACTCTAACACCATGATAAATCTTTACTAACTATAACCATAGCCAACTTATGCTTAAAAAAAAGCCATAAGCTTAGAAAAAATAATTGTTATCTGATATACTGATTCAATTTTTTTGTTAATATTTTGATTCTTCGACAATAAATTTACAAATTTAAAGAAAACATATTCTATACTTGTTTATCCAAAACGATAGCAATGTAGTCCTTCAAAATTCACAAATTCTCGTCAGATTCTTTTTTAGAATCATTCAAAGCCATTTAATTCCCTTGAAATGCTCAGATATTAAAAACAAATCCAGGGAAACAGATGACGTGTCTTCTGCGACAAATTTAATATTGAAATAAATATGTTCGAAGGGGAAATCAGGTGGTATTCGTCTTGGAAAGGCGACTAAACCCTTTCGTTGACAATATTGAATAAAACAAACATATACGAGATCAGCAATAATAACTTAATACGTTTGAAAAGTTGTATTTATTTATCAAGGAATATATTAAAGAACCTCAATTATTACACTATGAATTCGTATATGGTGAAGTATGGGTATATGCAAAAGTTAAGGCCGCCCTCTTCTAATAGTCAATGTCTTCAAAGTAAACCTAGCTATATCCCTTCTTACCCAATCAAGATCTTCTATATATAAGAGAGACTAAAGAAACATATAAACTGTAGAACCCCAAAAAACAAAACAAAAAGGTTAAATAAAACTTGGCGCCTGACCCACAAACACTTTCTTGATTCTTGATTCTGGTCTCATCATAAGAAGAGAGGACTAATGGAGAATCCAATAACGAAGACATGGAGAAAGATGAAGTCCTATGGGCATACGAGATCTTCTACTATGGCCTCGATCACGAAGAGCAAGTCTTGGAATGGCTCTGTTCATGTCGAGGATGCTAAGAACAACGAGTCAGTAGAAAAGATCAAAAAAAAATCGCCGCCGCCACACGGGTGTTTCACGGTTTACGTGGGTCCCACGAAACAGAGAATCGTAGTGAAGACGAAATTGGTGAACCATCCTTTGTTCAAGAGCTTGTTAGAAGACGCGGAGACTGAGTATGGATACAGACGAGATGGACCCATTGTTCTTCCTTGTGAGGTTGACTTTTTCTTCAAGGTTTTGGCTGATATGAAGTCTAGTCATTGTGATCATTATGATAATGATGATGATGATGATGATGATGATGGTTGGATTAATCCTCCGATCTGCGGGTTGGGTAGTCCGTATAGATGCGGTGGTACTGATTCCATGGCCATGAGACTGAACGGCTCGTATAAGCTTCTCCGATCTCCGTCTTTGTTCAAGTTGAATAGATTTTGATTTTCCTTTTCTCTTTTTTTTCTTCTTTTCCATAATATTAGATATCTAAGTTCTTGTTCATAACATTACCATATAAGTTTTAAGCTTGAGTAGAAATGTGACAGAAATAAAAAACCTCACATTATCGAATTGAAACAATTAATTTGCTTCATTGCTTGAATTACTTTCTAAGATTTTGATTTCGGCTTACATCATATTTGACACATTGTTATTATTGATAACTGATTTGTATTTTAATATTACATGTGAGAGTTTTTGGATGAGTCAGACTCTGAATTAAAGAGATTATACTAAAATATAATTAAATAGAAGCATTGAATTTGAAGCTACAACCCCAGCTGCAAATCCTCTTTCACACTTCCAACAGAGTACTTAGGGTGCAAATGATTGTATCTTAGAGTATCAATATTCTGTGAAAAAAATGAGTTGAATAATTTTATGTTCAACTAGTTTCTTTCGATTGTGTTATTTTTCTATTTTGTAGAGTACAAATTCTAAATGAATAAGGCTTATTTTCCTCAAATTTAATGGGATTCAGTTTAATTTAGAAAAATATTTATTACTTTTAAATGGTAAAATTTTAGAGAAATCCAAAAGAATATACAATTGCTCTCAATTTTATTTTTTTAAAGTGTTAACCATTTGCAGCCTTAATTAAACCCTCGTTTGTTCAAAGATTGTGTAAACGTTTTCCAAGTTTGATAAAAACAAAGCCGTTTAGAGGTCTGAAAAAAACTACTTCATCGATTACAACTGTCCACGATATCAATGCTTTAACCTCTACGGATAATCTACAAAATGAATTCTCCATTTTATAATAAGATTCTATTTAGAATTATATTGTTTAAGCTTTCGAAGAGAAAACGTAATTGAGTCGTCTTACATAAAATATAATTTTTTAAACATCTTAAATATGTGCGAATGTTTTTGAAAAGACGCATATAATGAAACGAAAGAGTAGTTAAATATATTCCTTGCATGATTCTAAGAGGCACGCTCCATTGATCGCCCTTTTAACAGGTTGAATCATTCAAAATGAGTGAACGGTAAGCATCCTATTAGTTGTATTTTATTTTTACTGCCATCTCATTTAACTATTATTTATATGACAACTTTGCTTTTGGTTTGTATCCGATTGAAATTTTATTACCTGTTCCGTCAATGAGGCCGCAGAAAAAGAAATGTGTGGCTCCTATGAAGAGTTGAAAACAGTGTAATAAGAATAAGGTGTGGATCAAAGGTGTGGGTAAAATATCCGTTGTATCCGCTTCGAACCGATATTTGCTTCGATCTGATTCGAAAAATTCGGATATTCATAAAGCTTCGGAGCAAAACAAATAGCAAAATGTAGTATCCGTACAAAACGGAGTAAATCACAAATATGTTTTTAGATAACACCGAATATCCGATCCGATCTATATCTTTATAAATTTGTTATATATTATTTTGTATATATTAATTATATTATAAATTTTTATTAATATATTCTCAATTTTCTTTTTAAATTTTCAATTGTTCTTTTGATTATATAAAATAAATGACTAAATAACCAATTATAAAAAATAAATAATATGTTTAAACTTAAAATATATTAATAAATAACATTTTATTTTATATTAGTAAATAAATATCAACAAAATTTTTTTAGTAAAGTTTAATATTAAAATTTCAAATAGTTAATATTATTTTTAAATATAAAATATCATTTTTCTTCATCTTAATTTTGTAGATTTATTTTTTATAGATTTTTTTTATAAAATAAAATATTTTCTTTTAGTTATTTTCATTTAATAATTTAGATGAAATTTTTTTTTATAATAAAAATTGATGTACTTTTAGTTTTGTGTATATTAAACGGATCAAACTAAATATTCACAAATATTCGTAAATATCCGTAAATACTTGTAAATTTTCCGGATATCCGAAAATCCGGATATCTGTATATTTCCAAAGTAAATCAAATCATAAAATTAAATATTCGTTAAAAACGGAGCAAACCACAAATACTAAAAAATTCTCGGATATCCGATCCGTATCCACCCCTTATGGATCACACCAAGTGTGTATTTATTAAGTATGTAATTGTATTATTTGCTAATTATCTTAATAATTTCCAACTTATGGTGTATCATGCAACATGTGTGGCTCATAATATAGTTTCCCCTCGCAAAGCAAATATAAAAAAAAGTAACAGAAATATGCATGCCATTTCTATATTTGGATGTCACATCAAGATTCATCATTTACACGTAGCATTCAGATTCTAAATTTAGATGCAACGTCATGATTTACACTTATTTCAACATCTAGATTCATCATTTTATAAGCTGTTTTTTTTAACAGTTTCATTGTTTGTTTGTAAGTTTTGTAAAACAATTTATATAATGATGACTAAAAGTATATACTGTCTCAAGACTCTCAACCTGATAATAATCTTCTACAAAAAATTAACCTAATTACAAAAATAAAAGAATTTTATGCTTGTTATAAATATGACGTGACTATAAATAAAAATTCCACATAATGATTTGATTAATTTTAGAGAAAGCGAAGTGATGATATGATAGAATATTTCTGTCACTATAATATGATTCACAAATCATAACCAATAGTATGCGTAGATAAACTATATAATACTTATATAGTGTACTGTGTAATTGACAGTTCAATTCGTAGAAATATTTTTGGTAACAAAAAGCAAAGGGAAAAGATTGCAGTATTGATGTTACTAGTAATGCCGTAAGCGGAATAAGTCTCTAAGGGCATTGGCTACATCAAGAACCTTATTTCCTGGAGCCTCTATCATTGGCATTGATGGTCCAGCCATCACCATCCACCGGCCCAACGAATCTGTTACCTCTGAACAGAATACTTTCCAAAGTATTACAGAACCGATCCATTCCGGTTCCAACAAGTATCTATCTCCTCTGCACACGCTCGTCATTATTGCTTTCGCACACCTCTCTGCTGATTCCACTGGCAATACGTTCATTTGAACCTGCTTCATATAATATGTAAGTGTTACCATTTACATTAATTGAAACTAAACTTCTATCAATAATTTTTTTTTTTCTCATAGGTTCAAAAAAAAAAAAATTCTTCTAGTCATTCTCCAATCTCTATGTAATTAGGAATTAAACAAAAAAAAAGTATTTTCTATTGACAAAAGTAGATGAACAAAACTCTTGCCTAGATCATATTTTTTTATAAGAAAAAATATAGAAAAAATAATGCAGTCAGTGACTTATTCCTCTAATTATTAATTTTCTTTCATTCTTCTTAATCTTATTACTCCACATAATAACATGCACACATTTCGCATAGAGAAAGATCGAATACGGAGGAAGAAAATAACGGTTTAAGTAGGCTTATTTACGAAAAGCACCGTTAAATTCACTTATTTTATTGTATCAGACTCAATTTGTGGTATCACTCTCAATATATAGCGCATATATCTACTGATATAATCATTTATATTTCAAAAGTTCTGCACACTGACTTTGCAATGAAATTGTTAACCATAAGAAAAAAAACAGCATATTTTGTAATTATTAAAGAACATTATAGATTCAGCCAGAAATGCTTACATCTCTGAGCTCTTTGTCGATTATGAGTTGGCCGTTCTTTGTCATGAACTTGCCTCGGGTCAATTCTGAATCAATCACCCCCGGTGCTACTATGGTAACTCCAATCTCTGATCCAAACTCAGTTCTTAGGGTTTCGTAAAAGGCCATCACAGCCGCTTTACTGGCCTGAATCCATCAACAGAGAGTTAATGTAGTAGATGAATGTTTGAGACCAAATGGTTAGTAAGTAAGAAGAGGCAAATGGATACAAAAATGTTACACAGTAAAAGCTCAATCTTGGTGAAGCAATGTATCCACATCCAGAAGCAATCACCACAATCCTTCCTCTAGACTTCTTTAAGTACGGATAAGCAAAAAAGGTGCAATAAACAGATCCCCAAAAGTTTATGTCCTATGAGAAGAAAAAACCGATTACAATCGATGAGTAGAAAACATAATATCTTAGGAAAATCTTTAGTCGAAGTAAATTTATTGACCATAGCCGGTGAAGCCTTTGAGAGATCGTCGATTTCTTCAAACAAATAGAGTGGAGCAACTCCTGCATTTGTCACTAGATGATCCACTGTCCAAATCAAAACATACCAGAAAGTATAAATCTACAATTAATACTATAGTTTTAGTTTAATATATTATATATCTGCCAACTATTTGGATTGTCCAACCTAATAATGTTGCGATTTTTTTAAACGCTAATTTCTATCCTTGTGTTTAATTTTTTTTTTTAAAATGACAGTTTTAAAAGTTAAAATAGTTTATGCGTTTTATGTAAAAGTGTAAACACAAACTCCAAAAGAAATAAAATATTCTCCTTTTTTGCGTTTCTCGTTTGTCGTTTATGTTTTTCTTAATAGATTTTAAAAGTTTCGGATCTTTAACCCATAACTTCCTTTGGTGCTCAAGAGATAATACCACGTTATATACGTAAATTAGCATTCCGAAGTGAAGTTGGACACTTGGACTAATGACCATACCACCACCCACTTGGTATTGGTATTGACGTTTATGTTTGTTCAAAATGTATTTTACAAATACACCATAAGTTTTTTTTATTTGTTATAATTATCATAATAATAAAAGAGTATTATATTAGAAAATGGAATCGTCAACACAATAACTAGAATTTAAGTATAGTTAGATTGACTTACATCGGCCAAAATGACGAACCGTGGCTAGGATAAATTGCTCGCAATTTTGGTCTTTGGAAACATCAGCGACGATGGGGACGACTTCAGGGGAGCCATAGAGCTCAGTAAGAGCCGCCACGTGGAAGAGAGGTTCGTCTCTTATGTCAACAAGTGCTAAATACGCTCCTTTCTTCGCATACTCATATGCTAAAGCCTATAGTCATGCATTATCACACCCACATCTACCAAAACGCCAATAATCAACCATTATGTGTTTTTGTTTGTAAAACTTACCTCGCCGATGCCAGAAGCTGCTCCAGTAATGAGAACAACTTTTCCGGCGACGTTTTGGGAGAAAATATTCCGGCAGATGGAGACGGTGGACTTTAGCCTCTGGTAAATTGGATAGAAGACAAAAAGAACGTATACGGCTAAAGGAGGAAACACGAAATTGATGACTGAATCCATACATGAAGGACTCTGCTTCACTATGATTTTTTTATTTGTTCTCTTCGCTTTATATTGTGTTTAAAAATATATAAATATTTTGGGGATTTAACATGTGGCAAGCTCTCATGGCAATGTGGCAATCCTACAAGGCGAATGCCAACACGTCTTTCGTCTACAAACCTCAACTATACTATTACTTAATACTTACTTGGGAGGAATTCGTTGCATAACTAATATTGTTATTATATATAGTACATATAATTACAAAAAAAAGCAACTGACCATTTGACTAGTTATATAGACGAAATTATTCAGGTTTGTGACATTATATGAGCTGGTATGAAATTATCTTTTCAAAAAATAATTAAGTTAATTTATAATAATGATTTTATTTAGTGGTTTAAAACTGATTAATAATTTAATATGAATATAATTAGATGTTTTATTTCTAGATTGACAAACGTGATTGCAATATTTTGTCGCTAAACTGCCCTTCATCGTCATTGTAATATTTTGGACTAATTCCTTTGGGCTTTTAATGGACGAGTTAGTGGATAATTTTTGAGTGAGTTAGGTAATAGGACATTTCGTACAAGTTTTTCTTTCGAAAAAAAACATCTCTACAATATTATATAAAAATTCTATGTATAAAATATACAATAAAAGTGTTTGGTAACTAGTCAAGGTGAGGCTAGAAGTGTGTATGAGTCAACTTGCATGAATCTAGAATTGTTAAAACCCCCAAATTAATGTTAAAAAAAAAAAAAAAACTCAAACCCGAATAATCTATTCTATTAAAAGAGAGTTAGTTTTTTGGATTCCTATGAAAATAACTTTTTATTCTGTATTATATTATGATTTCTGCCATTGCTTTTAAATTAAAAGTTTATAGTTTATTAAGGGTATAATCAGAATAGTTTTTGTTCTCTCTCTATCTAAAATCTGTGTCCAAACAATTATGTCCGAATTATTTGAGTTAACTTGCCAAATTATTTTCTTTAAACTTGATATATTAGTAAAAAAACATATGATTATTGTTTGGTAACAAGTTTTTGATGAAACCGACTCACTATTCCTTTAAAAGGACTGAATCATATTATTAATTGGTAAGCAAATTGGATTGTGGTTGAAAGTTATGATGGTTGATTACTATTTTTCTCTTATATGAAAATATTTTGTTTACCCTTAATGAAATTAATAAATTAATATAATCTAATTTTTAATTTTTCGTTTTATTTAAACCTAAATTTCAAAACTTGAATTTATATCATAATAATATTCAGTTTACTAAAAAAAGTAATTAACATAAATCATAAAAATCAATTTTAATTATTTTCTTTAAACTATTTGATTGTTTAACCTACTAATATTTTTGATTAACCTACAAAAGTAAAACTCTAAATCTTATATAAAATTGATTTATGCAGTCAAAAAACAATATATCTCATGAAAATTTTATTTTTCAAATATATTAATTTTGATTTCAAATAATTATAAAATCTGATTTTTTCATCTATAAATAAACTAATGTTATTATTTTTAAAAAAATTTAATCGAACTCCGCACCTTCTGCGGGAAAACACCTAGTTATCTAATAAACCCAAACACAAATACAATTTCAACCGGTAAAAAATAAATGATTTTCAATATGAGAAAACCACCAGAATTTATTCATTCCTGTCCAAGACAATTTAATCTGGTGTAAGACAATTTAAACAATATGATCAATGCTGTCTTATACAGATCGTAATGAAATCTGAAACAATATAAGTCCAGCACTATATTATATCTTAGTTGCATTACTATATTATAACTTATATGGCAAAAATCAACACTATTGATAATGAATTGCACCAATCAAATCTTCTTAAGCATTTTGTGACCGATGAATTCTCGGTTAGAGACTTTCACTAACTCATTTGATTTACCATTATCTCGGAAACAAACATACCATACATAATTTATTAAAAATCCAATATAAGAATATAACATTATTTTATTTTGGAAATAAATTTATTTTTCAAAAAATCACCAAAATATTATATTATAATTATTAATTCCAAGATTTAATCAGAAGAATATTCTACTAAAAGAAAACCGATATCCTAGATTTGGTTGATACAAATCCTTGATATACAGTATATTCTATTCGCAATCGTGTATTCAATGATATTATCGTTTTTATTTTGAAAATATTGAAGATACTGATTACCCCTAAATATCATAATTTATGTAACCTCCAAGATTGTGATCTTAACCTACATCTAAACCTAACCAATATTTTATATATATATCGCATATCATTAAGTTTTCATAATATCATTTACCACAAACTTGCCTTTCAAAACATCTTATTTTCAGAATAGCGTTGACAGGACTGACGTATTAAACCATTCAAATCAACATGGCGAGTGGAGTTTAAGTTTTTGCATTCTTGGAAACAATACATTCCCCAAGCTGGACAGTCTTTCAAAATGGTTTTAGAAGATGAAACTGTAAGTAAATTCTCTCATACTTTTGTATTACAAGGTTAATTAAAGATATCAATAGAGTTTGTTTTTTTATCTATCATATAGAGCTTAAAGATTCATGCTTCTTGCAAAAAAGCTTTCAATTACAAGGTTGAAAAACATCTTCCTCTTAGAGCTTGGAAAATTATTGAGAATTTCTCATTAGCTCCAGCATCTTACCAATATAGAACTACAAGTCAAATTTATAAAATGAGTTTCACTAACTCTACAACTGTTACATGGTCATCGAAAAAAATAAGTAATATGTTTCTATCATTGAACAGTTTTGAACATATTATGGATCCTGCTCTCAATCGTCATTTTTTTATTGGTAACTTTTTCTGTAACTTATTTATATATATTACTCACAGATTCAGTTATATTAACCACTTAAATTTAGAAATTAAGACATAATGAAATTTTAAATTAAGACATAATGAAATTTAAATAGGTATAATGGGCGGTTAAACCAGTCACTTAAATTTAGAAATTAAAATGGTAGAAAATTAAAAGTACATAAATAAAATAAAAAGATTTAAAAAATCCTTTTTTAATATAAAAATTACTTATTGGAGATTGTGGTACAAGCACGGGATGTGTGGTTGGGTGGGACGAGAGGTTTGGTACTAACGACTGAGGAACTCAGGCTTTTGTACCGGTGGTCGAGTCGTATGGATGACTGATCTCACGGGACGAGAGTGAATGGTCGAGCGGGACGATGGAGATGGGTCGAACAGTCGAAGAACTCAAACGATTGGACCAGGGACGAACTAACCAAAGGATATGGCCGGGGGAATCGAAGTGTACCATAAAGGTTATGAATGGACCTTTGATACAACACAAAGTTTCTCTTTAGTTTTGGAGGTATTGGTCTCAACAAAAGTAAGGAGAATGAACACAAGATTTGTTTACAATCTTAGTGAAGAAATTTCGTTATTTTATTTGAAAATCAAAGTAAATTACAAGGCTGTGAGAGGAGACCTTATAAATGGTCCGAACAGCTATGTCCTTCTAGGGGACTAGAAACAAAATTACACTTAAATTAAAAGCAACATTATTGGAATGAAAATGCGAATAAATGCAAAGAGGTTAAAAGAAAATAAAAGACTTGATTTCTAAAGAAAATAAAAGACTTGATTTCTAAAGATCATAAGGAGAAAACACAAAGAGGTTAGTCAAATAATTCATTATAATTAACGGGACTAAAGAGTCACCTTCTTTGGCTTTGGCGTGAGTAATAATTCATTATAATTAACGGGACTAAAGAGTTACCTTCTTTGGTTTTGGCGTGAGTAAGTGTAATGCATTCTCCTTTGACCGTGATCCTTGGTTTTAATTGCTTTTCTCAAGTGTAGAGATGATAAATAAATTGGCGTGGGTTTTACTTGATATTAAGGGCCAGCTTAATTGTGTTTTTGTTGGATCCGTAGCTTCTAAGATATCTCATGCATCGTTCCATGCAGCTTTAGTCATCAAACTTGGGCTTCCTTGATTAGACTCGGTCATGGTTCGTAAAATGGCTTGGTTGTATTTGTCTTGAAGTGCACAGGCCCTTTGTCTAGTTATAACTCCTTTGTTTGAAACCGGTATTTCTATTTCTTGTAGTTGAGGCTTGGTTAAGTCTGGTTCAGTTAAGATGTCCTCATCATACCCTCCCTCTTGAATAGATTTTGACTCCACAATAGTTTCATTTGCCAAAAATGGAGCTAAATCAGTAACATTGAACGTTGGAGATACATTTAACTCACATGGTAATTCAAGACGATATGCGTTGTTGTTGATCCTTTCTAAGACTTTAAATGGACCGTCTCCTCTTGGTTTAAGCTTCGAGCTTCTCTGATCCGGGAACCTTTTTTTCCTCATATGTAACCAAACCCACTCTCCTGGTTGAAAAATTACTTATTTCCTACCCTTGTTGGCTTGCTTTGTATATTGCTCCGTCCTCTTCTCTAGGTTCTCTCGGGCTTTTTGATGAAGTTTTATGATGAATTCAGCTTTTTCATTGCCCACTACCGCTTCTGCTGGTGGTAAGGGAGTCCAATCAAGTGGCGTTGTAGGGTTGAATCCCTATACAACTTCAAATGGTGATATCTTGGTGGATGAGTGTTGAGCTCGGTTGTAGGCAAATTCAATGAACGGTATACACTCTAACCAGTTCTTAATGTGCCTTCCAATGGTTTCCCTTAGCAAGGTTGATAACATGCGGTTCACAACCTCTGTTTGACCATCCGTTTGTGGGTGACAAGTGGTGGAGAAAAGGAGTTTAGTACCTAGTTTCTTCCATAAGGTTCTCCAGAAGTGACTCAAGGTTTCTTCCACAAGGTTCTCCAGAAGTGACTCAAGAACTTGCTGTTTCGATCAGAAACTATAGTCCTCGGAACCCCATGTAGCCATACTATTTCTTTGAAGAATAGATCCGCGAATTGAGTTGCATCGTTCACCTTAGCACAAGGGATGAAGTGCACCATTTCGGAGAATCTATCCACCACCACATATATAGAATCTTTATGGTTGATCTTTGGTAATCCTAGGACGAAATC